CATGCGGTACGACGATACCCGTGGTCCCACGATGCTTGTGCTTGTTCTTGGAGCTGCGATGGTTATTGCAACTGTCTTTTCAATTCAGCGACAATACCACAAAAGTATTACGCCAACACTTCATGGAGGAGCAAGTTTTGCTTAGTTCAATTACTCTTAGACTATCCATATTGCATAGGAAGTAATAGAACCGTTGTCGTTAAACGGGCAAAGCTGATGTGTATTTTTTTATGTTTTTTCGAGGAGAATGATGGTCAAGTAGAATTTTCTCTTTGAAACAAAATGATAAAGAAGAGGAATGAAAAGGCGGTAAACCCAGAAAGAACAGACTTATATGCATGCTGAAAGAAAAGAAAGATGCGGGAGCGCTGTTTCTATGGAAAAAAATGAAACTTAAAAGTACAGAAAGAAGTTAACGTAATGTTTTATATTTTTATTTACCTGCATGTATGTGGTTATACACACATTAAAAATAATAATAATGTTGTATGGTTGCATTTTTGTGAGTGCCAATCTACATCTGAAGTAAAGAATTGTTTTTTTTTCTTTTATCGCTTGTTTTTTTACTACTGCTGTTAATATAATAGTTACAGGAAGATTGGATACATTGGCGATGCTCTTTAGAAAATCCATGTCTGGTGTGAGGGAATTGTCAGGATATAAAACTATGACGAGTAAGGTTGTCAACTGTTTTGCACACAATGCCTCACAAGAGTCCTTTGTCTTGGATGTTATTCTTTTAGATGCGTGTATAAGGGACAATGTTTATATTCCTGTGGCATCAAAGGAAATTCCCGGTTACAAATGGTGGGAAAAGGTTTGCAAAGCATGCGCAGACAAACCTTCCACCTCACGTTATGGGAGAGTGCTGTTGCGTCAACGTCTTGTTTGAGCATTATCGGAACGATTAACGGTAGATGAGTTTTTTTTTGTATAAATGGGCATGAAATTGAAAAAGAAAACATCGTTGAACCACTAATTGTGATGAGTTTGCCTCGGTGTAATGGACATCAGGCGGCACATGTTTTTTCTCGTTCAGGACTTTTTTTTTGCTTTTAAACAGAGCGATACGTTTGCTTCATCGTTTCTTTTAGACGTATCGCGATGCGATGCATTTAATCATCAGTTTAAGTGTTTTTCTTCTATTTTTTCCTGATTTTTTGTTGCGTACGGGTAATTAATCCCGATCAGATTGACAACGATCTCACGCTTCAACTCATCTGCCCAGAGTCGTACGCATAGGGTCTCCTACATGGCCTTGATGAGTATATTTTGGAATGCCTACAGGAAGATCAGACACCGATGTATCAACACCTTAGATGCATATGTCAACTGTTTCAATGGTATACACGTTGTAGACATTTTTCAGAGTGTGTTTTGCGTGATGTCAATCTCATTAACAATCCTATAAAAGAACAGTAATACGGTTCTAAATCCCCTTTATTACAAACAAAATGGTTTCTGTTTTGCCCGTTTGCTATATTGAGCATTGAGTCACTTCATGAAGCATTTCCTGATATGAAGTTGATTTGGGTACATCGTGCATTGACACAGTGTCTTGCGTCATTATGTTCATCATTGGCAATTCATAATAGCTTGTATACTGGAAAATCACCATGTGATTCTCACTTAGTGACATTGGGAGATAAAGTATTAGACACATTTGGTTCTGGAACAGAATATGCCATTGACTATCTTGCAAATTATGATAAGGCTTGGATAGTGCACTGGTTCAATCGGGATGTAAAACGGCACACAGCGCGGTTGGCAACAAAAACATTGCAATATTTTGGAATTGACATAGATTGCTACCGTCGTATGCAGATTATCAATTCTAAAACAGAATATACGGAAGTCTTTCGCCCTCTACATGACTCACAGATGCCATATTTCGACTTACACAATGGTGTTATTAGCGAACTTTTTGATAGTTATATTTACCAATTTGAAGAATTTGCGTATGAAAAGAGATTTGGTGTTACGGTTGAAGGTTATCAACCATTAGCGGCTCCTGCGGATCAGCAATCCCTTGGCACCTTGAGAGTAAATGGTGGGGCTCAGTCTTTCGTTCCGTCGTTTGCGGACGGTCAGCCAATGACCGGCCACTTCTTGCAAGATGATAAAGGGTTCAAATGAGGTACTGAAGCCGGAATCTACCAAGTAAGGGAAAGCTTTGCATTCTCATTTAGCTCGCATCTATCGCTGGATGATGATGATTTTTTTGATATATATTTTTTATGTACATTTTTTTTTTTTTTATGTGCGGGTGTCTACCCCCTTTATGAGCTAAATGGCTTAGCCGTGGCGTGTATTTACTTCCAGTTGTTCTTTGCACCTCGCAGTCAGGCGGTGTCGCACCATAATGTTGTATCTGTGTCTCTGTTTTGAGGTGGCTACATGAACTGTGGCTCCGAAAGGTGTAATGGAGTTCATGTCTTTACTTTGTTATTAGTTATTTCTCTGCTTTGTGAACCTGATATTATCAATTGTTATTATTATTATTATTATTATATATTTTTATTTTTATTTTTATAAGCAGGAAGGTGTGTTTTGAATCACTGCTTTTTTTTGGTTGTTTGTTTGTTTTTAAGGGATGACGGAGGGACGCTTTGAGACCGTTTACAACCTTCGGCCAAAAAATTGGGATGGACGTCGTCATTGGACCAATTGGCATCACCTCTACGACTGCGAAAAGGACCATTTGGAGCGCGAAAGCTGTCCCTTTCATGATCTCCGTTCCGGAGGACAATTTCAGTATGAGCACGGTGGAGGAGGGGGCTACCAGGCCTCTATTCCCCCAGCTCGTCTTAACGATCGTCCATGTGGCGATAGAATGGACTTTGCAAAAGGACCTGGTACACAGATTGGCGGTTTTGGAGATATACCCTTGGATGTGGAAGCTGGACGTCCCCTAAAACATAACAAACACCCAGGACGAACGGCAATCTTCACCAAGAAGAATCCGTTGAATCGTGGGCTCTTTAGCACCTACCCGTATATGCCCGATCCACCAGACGAGAAGGCCGCGAGACGAGATGACAGAATGGGCCAGGGTGGAATAAGGGCTGGGCGTGTTGATGGTTTGGGCCAGGCACCAGAGTGGATATCGGATCCGTACCAAGACAAACCTGACCGAGGACGCATTCATCACCTAAAGGCAGGACCACTGAATTACAGACCTGAGGATCGTCCGCCGTGGATGCCAGAAGGAGAACCTGAAAAGCGTAAAAATCGAACTCATGGGGCCTTTTATGCTGGTAAACCATGCGGCATCATCAATGATATAGAATGGATTCCCGACCCACGTATTGAAACTGGAGTCAAGAAACAGGCACGACCATTCCGTACTTGGCACACACGAACAAAGTTTTCTATGCCAACGCATGCGCCGTGGACCACGGGGAAAATCACGGCCGAGCCTTTCCGTGGACCAAATTTAGATGTGACAACCGCCGGATTACCCTCACTAGACACCTACAAGAGGGTGAATATGACACAAACCATCGGCAAGGAGGCTGCGCTTGCCTCAATAAAGGCACCGGAGCCTGTAAGACTGAAGTGATGACTATTTGGACGTACGGGGTGTTGCTTGTTAAAGTTTTCTCGTTGGACGAACATGGCGAATGTATTGCAACACTTGGACGCGAGTAGAAGAGCACAATTGAAAGGCGGATTTTGGTCCTTAATGGAGGAGGGGAAAAAGTGTCGGACAGTGGAAGAAACAAAGAAACAAACACGGAAGTAGACGTTTTCTGACGGATGCCCCTTTACATTCTTAGCAACTTTATCTGTTACTGGGAAAGTTACCTCTTGTTTCAATTTCACTACCAATTTTCAAATTGACAGGTCGTTCTTCTATTTATTTATTTATTCTTGCGTGTGTGTGTTTGTGTGTGTGACAGTTCCGTTTGAGAGCTTCTTCACACATTTTACTCGATGTATTTTTTGTTTGTTTGTTGGAAGTTCTTCATTGAGTTGGAGTTCACAAACGTACAAAGTTGAAATGTATTGATGGATGTAGTTACAGTCTTTGTCTTGTTGCTGGTGTTGGTGTTTGGGGGAGCACGAATTATATATATATATATATATATAACACGCGTGTTTTTAGTTCACCTTTCTTTGTTGCAGTAGTAATATGTGGTTTCTTCTTTGCTAGTTCTCTCTCTCTCTCTCTCTCTCTCTTGATCGTGTTTTCCTCTTACTGTTGTGCGCGACCAGACGCAAGACTGAGCATCATGCGACGTGTGCTGGCCGCTCGTGTCTCACGTCGTATGTCTCTTGGGTCGGCTTGTCGTCTCCGCGCGCGAAGCGTATTAGAAGCGGGCGGTGGTAATACCCACCGGATACCGCCGGTACGTGCGCTCAAACGCGGTCTTCGCCTACGGGGTCTCCAGAGGTGGACTGCATCCTCCCACGTCTAAAGCGGCGGAATCTGCTCCGTCGCAGTCCACCATTTCACAGAAATGGTTTAGTGATTTGGTCGCTCAGGTGCACGATAGGTTTTGCCCAAACCACTGGCAGGCAGCTATGCGCCTTATTTCATCCTTCCCCTTAACGTCGCAGGACGAGGCGGTCGAAACTACTCCACCCTGCACTTTGGGATGTGAATCACTTATTGCTGCATTACTCCGTAAAGGCCACGGGGAAAGCGCTTTTACCATCTGACGCACTACATCCACGCATTTCAATTTCGCCCTCTCACAGAAGACGATGGTACGGTTTGCGGTTTACACTTTGCTTGTGGATTGCAAGCCTCAGGAGGCCCTTGATTTTGTGGCAATGGCTGCCCTGCCAGTAGAAGATGAAGTCGTCGCTGCAGGGCCTTGGCTGGAACACTATGCGTTATGGACAAGATTCATTGCGGCACTTTCCTCCGACGAAATGAAGAGCTTTCAGGAACACATTGGTTAGCCGGAAGCAGATGTAAAAGCCGCCTTCGTGGGCCTGCTGCGCTTGTCACTCCAGCCAGTGGGGGAAGGAGAGAAGCGGTTGGGCATGGAAAGGCTACAGCTTGCCCTGCATGCTCTTGTGTCACTGATTTTGTGTAACGGTGGAAACGAGGCGTTGCAAGCCCTTTGTTCTATATCCTTTGTGGAAAGTAACGATTATTCGATTGACACCCTTCTTCACGTCGCCAAGTTTCTTTCTATGAAACCAGTTGACTACGAAACCTCTTCTTTTTTCTCAGATGGCGTGCCCTTTATGATTACCCGTGTCCCTTCACTGCCTTTGGTGTGTGCCCCCAAAGAGTCCGCCCCGTTGCTGTGGGGGCTAGAGGTGTACAGAAGTTTCTTTATTGACATTGATACGCCTCGATCATCAGAGGGCGAAAATGTATCTTTTTCTCTTAATAACACCACGGCTATTGCTGCCACGAATACTGCTGTACACACAACAGTAGGAGATGTGCTGTTATGACGGATTCTGCAACGTGATGTTGAGCAGTAATTGTTTCTTTACTCAGTTGTTTTGCATGATATAGACACGAGCAGTACGTCTCTCATGACGCAACTGCTGGCATTGTTTCTCAGCCGCGATTTGTGTGACATGTTATGCGACAGTTTTTGGAAACAGTGTATTTCAGTTGTAAGAAGAACTGTGAAGGAGGTCTCATTGCGTGGGGATTTGCCTATGCCCCTGCTGGGGTATGTCTCACGGGTAATTGGCCCGTTTCTAAACACCGATCTGCGGCACCATAAAGCAGAGCTACACATTGCTGTGAATGGCAGTGAAGGTGGCTGTCTCATTGGTAGGAACATTATTTTTTATCTTGCGTTGCTTGCCAGCTTGATAGTGGAAGTACCGGATGCCGAGGTGAGGGCATGACGTCGTTTTGTGACTCATGTGACACGTACAATCAACAACAACATGGACTCTGGCGGTCGAGTGGCTATATCCCAGGATTTACGGCTACAGCTCCATTTGCGGTGGTGGCTACCGGAGTTGTTGATGCTCGGGAATTCCACGCGCGAGTGTCTGTTGTGTGAGGCACTGCAGTGCGCCTTTCCCTCAACCTTGCTAACTAAGTGGGACTAAGCGATGAGCGCAATGCTGCGCACGCTGCACAGAAAAGAGCACAGCAACAGTGGCAGCAGCACACTGTGTTGAGCGTCTGTCGGCCACGTGGCTGACCAGAATGAACTCGGCACCGGTGAAGCCGCAGCAAGCTTGCATGGTGTTGGGCAGCTGCTTGTGCGACGCCTTGTTCGCTGGGAGTGGCTTTTGAAAGGACTTTGGGAGTTCGCCCGAGACACTTCTCATGGTGGCCGTCACAGCACGTGGAAGTGTCTGTTGGATGTCTGCGCTGAGACGCTAAGCCACTGTAGGGTGTATCACCGCCACGATATTGCGAGGGAACTTATAAACACTATGTTTCTCCCCTCCGCATCTTTGCTGCCGTTGTCCGCGGAGCCGCCTACCAAAGGCAATTGGTGTGACACGAGCCTCATTGGTCTGCTTATCAATGGGCCAAGGGATTTTTGCGCGAACTCCAGCACGCTTATGAAGCCACGGTGGCGTCTAGTGGGTGAGGTGTACCGTTGGATGTCTACCTTGCAGGGGTGGGACCGCATGCGGGAACTTCAGGCGTTGTTGCCTCCTGGTCCACACAACGCGGCGCAACGCTTTCTGTTACTAGAGCATCTTATAAATGATTTATTGTGCGGTGAAGGTAAGGGTGCGGTGCCTGGCACCGGTGAACACGTGCGGGTGGGTAAAGTTTTTAAATGGTATGAGGAGGTCTGCCGCGGCGACCTCGCGCTTCGAACGCCACAGCTGCTGCTTCCTCTTGCGCGAGCCTTGTGTAGGGCCTCGCTTCTGGATTTGTTAAGTGAACTGGTGAGGAACACATTTTGCGATCTTTGGAGCAGGTTTCAGGCACCGCAGCCTCCCTTAGCGTCACAGCTATTGTTGGAGGCGTTGCTTTTTTATTCTACGCATCATGGTCTGGTCACAACCCAAATGCGGCTTGGTGGGGACGCAGAGGTCCTTGCAGAGCTCTCCCCCGCCGCCTACGATGGGGCCAGAGGTATGGTTACTGCCTTTGCAGAAACGTACATTCTTGCATTGTGGCAACACGACTGATTCCCTGCTTTGGACACGATCTTGCTGAAGCTGGCCGCCCCCAATGCGGGGTCAACTGCGTTGCCATCGCCATCAGTCGCTTGTCCAAAGGCCATCAGCCAAGGGAGTATTATGCCTCGGCTGAGATTGCCTAGCTTTTGCCAGAGGCAGAACGTGAAGCATTGCGTTTATTTTTGCTACTGAGCTTTGCACAGCGCTGCGACAGGCCTTTATATGCGTCCATATTGGGGCGAGACTGCCTCGAAGCAAAGCCGATCCCGCACGCGTGGTTGTATTTGTGGATTGCATTGTAGCGCAAAAACCCTCTCTCTTTGCCTCGCTACGCACCGTCGCACACCGTGTGGCACGAGGGACGTGGCGATTACGTGAAGCCAGTGCCTCTATTGCCGCCTCGCATGCGAAGGTTGGGGCGAAAGAACAGGTAGTAGACTGCAGTAGCAGAAGTAGGGGAAGGAATGAAGTGCGTACCGTCAGGGATCCTCAATCGTTGCGTTGATAATTGTGTTTGGGTGACGGCGTTGCGGGCAGTTCCGCACATACTTAGCGACACGCTCCACACTGCACGCAAGACACTGCTCGCGTGTGAGAAGACCCCAAAAGGGACTGCCTGGCGAGGCGCAATGAGCGTTTTTGCCAACTCAAGGCACACATGAAACAACGGTCACCGAAAAATTCCACGGAGCAACAAAGGGAGGCGGAGTAGAGCCGTTTTCATGCTTATATTGGGATTCAGGAATGCGGGCGCATCATGACGCTTTTAGCGGATACCAAGCGTTGGCGTGGTGCACTGCAGTTATTTGAACTGCTTAGTCCTTACGGGATGGATGGATTCACCTTTTCCCAGGCGTGTTTCGCTCTCTACGCCGGTGGTCACCCAGAATTAGCTATTGATTTGTGGGTGAAGTGGCGTGCGTATGTTGGTGATGCCGTGGAGCCAACGGCGCAGATGTGCGGACACTTTTTACGCTGCGGCGTGGTTGGCAACACAACGGTGGCAGACGCGGCGTGTGCTGCTAAAGATGGCGGCCAATGCACACGCCCGCCAGACAATGACGAGAAACGCAGCAGGTTTGCTTTCGCCGAATAGGTATTGTACCCCAGGAACGACTCTCCCTCTATCCGTGGAGGAGAAAGAAGATACAATCACCGCCCTCCTCCACGATCGCTGGCACGAGAGTTGGCAGGAGGCGTTGCGAGTAGCTCTCGTGAGTGGAAGGCCGCGCATTATTCACGCCGTGGCCCGGGAGTCGCCTAGCACCCATCACATGTATGAGGCTGTTATGCGGCAGGTCACGCGCGAGCTTCGACGCCTTTTGTTGGAGGAGAGATGTGCGATTGCGGGGCACTTGGACCTGAAGACTGCGTTATCTGCTAAAGGCAACTCCGTGGGTGCCGGCGATGACCGTGCCGCTTGTGTGCTACAACAACTGTTGGGCGACGAGGAGGAAAATTAAACGGCCGTGGTTCAAAGGCATCCATGAATGTCTCAAAGTGCACACACACGGATATTTACAGATATGTCTGTTTAAAACGCATTGCAAATATATACGATGGGATAAACAGCAATCTATTTAGGCTTCCTTTTGCTCACCTCTGTTTATATCAGGACGCACCGTAGCTCGTTCATACATGAGTGCGTACTTAAATGGACTGTTGTTGTTGTTGTTTTCGGTTACGATTTGCTATTTTTTGCTTTGTTTTTTTCTATCTCTCTATCTCTCTCTCTCTCTCTCTCTGTATGTGTATGTGGGAAGTGGAGGGCGTCAGACCAAATTTGAACCATCATGGTGTGTGGGTTTTGTTTACTCCTTTTCGTCGTCATTTGTCGTTGTTGCTCGATGTCGCCTTTTTTTTCCCCTATGTTTCTCTCTCTCGTTTGTTTGCTTTCTGTTGTCGTTGCCTTTTGTTGTGTGCGTCTGTTACTGGCGTTCCTCGAAAGTAGGGTTCATGGTAGATGTCCATTGAAGCGGCGGTTGGGGAGCAGCATCCGGCTTATCGCCCAGATGACCCGGAGTTCTACATGCAGGATGAAGGGCAGCAGAGTCCTGTCGCCGGGTCGGTCAGGGTGCTGGGAGGTGTTGCGTTTAGCGTTGCCCGCCTTGTCACCTTGAACTGCGCGTGGGCACCAGTTAATCGGTTCTTCTTGCTGCAATGCGCGGAGGGCGGACTTGTTCAGAATGGACGGCTCCCACACGGTGGGTTTAGTGGGATGCGGGGTTGCGTCCTTTACATATTGAAGAAAGAAGGGACCTTGGGGTTCTTCCGCGGTGGTCTCACAGACATGGTGTTATCGATGCCAGCGTACCTCGTCCGAGTTGCCGTGGCCCTTTGGACGGCGCGGCTGCAGCAGTGGTTGGCGGTTGACTCCTGGCCAGCCGCAGTCGTGTTCGGGGTAGCTGCACCAGGACTACGCGTACTGCTTACAGCGCCCATTGTGGGGGCCAAGAATACTGTGCTTTGTAACTACACCGCTGACATCGTTGCACCAAGCAGCAACAAGGTGGCAGTGAATGCAGAAGAGGAAGAGGAGGAAGCTTACTTGTACTGCTCGGCGGGGGAAGCCGCTGCGGCAGTGCGCGCATGCTGGGGTTGGAAGGGGGTTTGCTTTAGGGGATTGGACGTCGACATTGCTGCCGTCTACGCGCAAAGTCTCACTCTGCAGCTGATAGGACGGTTTCTTACGCCCCACCTCGGCCACCTCATTGGGGAACAGATCCAGCGGCCTTGGCAAGCCGCCGCGATGATCGCCGCCGCCATTGGTGTGCGCTTCATCTGCAGTTTCTTGTTTCAGCCCTTTCAGGTCATACGCGTACGCATGACGCTTCTCTCGACGGGTGGAAAGCAGAAACCGAAACCAAACCGCTGGTTCTGGCACTACGCACGAGAAATTATGCGCCAGGACGGAATCACGGCCTTCTGGGCTGGTTTTCGCATGCGGCTCCTGCTTGATGTAACCAGTATTCTCTTCGGCACCCTCGTGGTGCATTGAGACACCAAAACAAAGCCACACATACACACACACACACGCAATGAAGACTATTTTCCCTGACCAGCACTTTATGAAGTTAATATGGTTACTTTTATTATTTTCCCTTTTTTTCTGACCAAATACGTAGCCATTATGTATCTGTGCGTGGTTTCGGGGGTGTTGGCTGCTTGTGCGGGCGGTGTGCTCGTGTTTGTCTGCGTGGGTGGGGGAGGGTGGGGTGGGAGTCTCTTTGCCTCGTAACGCGAGAGCACCACCACACTCAGAAGGGCATATATACACAAGGGAGCCGAAAGAGATGGGGGGTAGTCCTGCGAACACTGGATGAATGAGGATGCATGAATGGGGC